CAGATGTAATCCAACACGGTTCCTTCAACTCAATCAGCAAGGCTTCCATCAGAGCCCTGGGGCATCACAGCTGTAAAATGTAGCAAAAGTCATCCCAAAGCACTTAAACAGGGCTGCTAAGAGAAAAGCTTTTAAAATGTGAAGCAAATGACCAAAACAGGAGGGGAGAGATTGCTTAAGGGCTTCACAAAATCAACAGCAATGAAACCAGCTTCTGAGCCGTGAAGGAATAGTTACAGAGATGGTTGATGATCACTGACTTGCAAACACCAAATCATCATCTGCACAAATGTGCATGTGTCCATTCCACATTTCAACAGGTTCAAAGGGCAGGATGGATTTTACTGCAAAAGCCTCTTTTTACCATCATGCCATCACACCAGCAGAGACCACTCTGTGAGGTTTCCCCATCTCATTAAGCAAACGTGCAAATACGGTATTACACAATAGACCTAAACCTGGTGGGCATGCTTTGAAGGCAAATCTGTCTTCATCATCAGATGAGCCAACTTCATGTGCGAAAGTCTGCAAGAGCTGCTAAAACCCAGGTGGGGAAATTCATCCTTGCTGTTGGGGTCTGACCATAGACCAGTGTTTGTATGGCGCAAACAGCAGCAGTTACATGATGTACTGGAGATCACTGCAGCGGATTCCAAGAAGGGAGGCAAAACAGCATTACCTCACTCTGGAGTTCCCCAGTGGGAGAAGCAGAGCGGCTGCAGGCAGTGCATGGTCACCATCCTGCCCCCGCTCCTCCAGGATGCCATTAAAGGTTATGAAAATACCATGCTGGAAGAAGGGAGCTGTTTCTCTGCTGCCTCCCCTGCAGGTCCCAACCCATCACGGGGGTGGGAAATCTGCTGAGAACAAGCTCTGGCCACTCTCAAGGAGGAAACGTGCCAGAGCAGCCGGGACACACATGCTGCCATACGCACAGAGCCTGCTTTCAGTCAGAGCAGTTCTATCCGCCCACAGTTACTCTCTGCCATCTGCACGCTCCCAGCATAGCACTGCTTGCTGCCCGTGTGTGTGCTGACACCAGAGCAGTCCCTCAGCTTGCAGACTGTGGCGCAGGGGTAGGAAGCAGAGAAAGCCCAGGGCAACTCCATTTGCTAACCACCGAGAGCAAGAGGTTTTGTTCAAATAAAATAGCTCTTTGCTTGTACGTACTGAGCACAAGTAGATACTCCAGCCGTGATCCAACAAATACTCAAACTGTGGGGCTCCCAGAGCTGTTCGATGTGAAAATCTTGTTTTAAAAACTGCCACTGGCCAAAAAGAACCTGGTGTTGGTGCAGCCCTTCCCCAGACGTTGGGGAACACATCCCCACACCGCCAGGCTGGGAGCAGCACCCGCAGCAGGACACACTGCAAAGCAGAGCGCAGAGCTCACATCGGGACCTTCCTCCTCAGAAGACCAAACCCTGACACGCTGTGCAAAGAGGTTTGTGCCAATCCCAGCCAGCTCTCAGCAAGGCTGCCACATCTTCCAGCAAGGCAGACCTTTCTGCTGGCAGTCCTGAGCTGCCATGTCTGCAGAGCTGCCCCTGCCTCCTCCTGCCCTGCTCTTTATTTCCCATCTGCCCCCCAGCCCTTCTACATGGGTGATTCTGTTGTCACTCCAAGTTGGATACTAATTTCATCCCACAGCATCTCATTTTAATAAGCCCTTAATTGCCTCTTAACAAAGGGATCGTTTTGGAAGACTTTAACGATCTTTCTTGAAGAATTATTTGAGCGTTGAAAGCACATTATGCGCCCCATGCCCCCTGTAAACACGCTGCGGGTTTTCAAGAGAACAGCTTAGAGCACTGTTATTCGCACAAGCAAAGAGATAAAAACAAAAAACTCAGCATCATCCTTTGGCAGATACAAGAGCTCTGCCTGAGACTCGCTTTGTTCCTAAATGAGTTAAGCTCCTGCAGGATTTGAAAACTGACTGTATGCGATTTGCCAAATCCTCACCAAGAACTGCTGCCTTCTCACAGCAGATGTTACAGCTAAGGCCAACCCACTTTAATTGGTCACCCCCTACAAGGGCGGCACTGAGAAGACACAGAGACCAACACTGTCAGCACCAGGCTGTACTGCGTAGTGCCATGCCTCCAATGCCTTAACCAGAGTTTGCCCACATGCTCACAGCGCTCTGGAAAAGACCACACTGACACAAAAGCAGGGGCTCATAGGCTTCCTGGAGCCTTCTGATAGTGCTGCGTTTCCCTCAACTCCCCTCCACTTTATTTTTTTTAACATTTGGCCCTTTTCATTGGCTCTGGCAGGGCCTGGAGGGCTGGTGAGCTCTGACAGCTTCTGGGAAAGCACCTTAAACCCTGAACAGAAACACTTTTTGGAGAAGTGCCCATGATTCAGAATCCTTATGATGAGCGAATTTTTCCTTTTTCAATCACACTTAAACGAGCCTCCAGCAATACGAGACAAAGCAGGCCGTTCCAAAGGCACACTGACACACTCCCTACCGCCACCACCAGCAGCAGCCCGCTCGCCCCAAGCACAGCACAGTGCCCTGGGACTCGCTGCCCGCAGCAGCCGGGCCGGCACAGCCCACAGATCCCAAGCGAGGCTCTGTAAGGCGCCTCTGCTGCCTCGCTGCCCCACTGCAGGCCCGCAGGCAGTTTCCAAGAAGCCCAGTGGTATCCCTGAGCGCGCTGCACAGCACAGAGCCGCACACAGCACAGGGATGAGTCACTTCCTCTGCAGCTCTGCTCCCGCACAGCTCACACAAAGCGCGGCCGCTGCCTCTGTGCCAGCAGGAACCAGGAAACGCCGCAGCACTGCTCAGCGAGCGTGAGCCTGGCTGGAGGGCCTGCATTTCCAGTGGTGCTCGTCTTTTAAAATCAGTTATCCCACAGTGTCACCATCTTCTCAACTCCTTACCTCCCATCTCTTTTATTATGGTGTGAACTCTTTGGAGGAGGGAGAGAAACCTGTAGAAGACCGTTAGTACCACGGCAACTCTTCCAAGCCCTTATCACGCCCAGCCCAAGCCACAGAACCAACTGTTCTGTATACAGCTTTGGTCCTGGTTTTAGGGGGAAAAAGCACCCAGGGGTTTCAAGAAATGCAGACCTGTAACTTGAGTACACAGAAATTTTCCAAGGCTCTGAATCAGTATTGCTACCCTGTAAATGGAAAAAATAAGGCTTCCTTAATGCAGAAAACTTGTATGCAATGACATTTGATACATATGCATTTGTAACAACCTTTTGGAGTTTGGCACGTACATCATTATTTGAGTACTGACAGACTGTTGTGCAGATACAGAGCATATGTTATCTATAGCTCTATTGCTGATTTAATAGCATGACACTGATTCTCTTGTAAAGCAGTTGCAAATATGCCAGCTCTTGGCTACAGCTTTAAAACAGGGCCCTGTAGACACACACAGGAGCAGAAGCAGCCTATCAGCCACACCGTGCCTTTGAGAAGTGCAAGATGGTGACACATGGTAAAGGCAGCTCTACCTAAAGGCAGCCCCACAGCCTGCTGACTTCAGGGTGCCAAGCTACCCAGACCCACAAGGAGAGCACCAGTAAGCACCAAAGTGAGCCCACACACCCACAGGGCACGTGCTCCTTGACCTTGTGTCAATGGCCACCTCCTCAGTGTGATCAGCACAGTGCAAGCGGGACTGGCTGCTTTCCTGCCAGCTCCCCCAATTAGTTATCATCAGTCAGAATTGCACTTACCTCAGGGAAAATGGAACAGACAGATATCTGAAGAGTTGACACGGGAAATAAAGCAGCCTTGTAAAGCATGTTTATCCTAACTGAACTCCTTTGCAGCTCTGTGGAAATCATATGCACGCACGAGAGTCCTTCCCCTCCAGGCAGCTTTAACTTGCATTAGGAGTACTTAATCAGCAGTTCATGACTGACCTTGGCTGCGTTACAAGGAAGGTATTTGCACAGGAGTGGAAAGATTTTAAACAATTTATCCAGTGAGTTGGATGCAAACAGTTTTTCCTTTGAACACCACACATGCAAGTCCTTAGGCCAGCTCTTGGTTAATAACAGATTTATCATGAAAAGAAACTCCTGTGTTTCTTTGATGATTTTCTGCTTAATGGAAACTCAGGGTTCAAGCAGAGAAATACTGCAGAGAAGCGAGTTGTTATTGCTTCCAAAGGAAAACATTCACATGAGATCATTTTTATTAAAGAGTAAAGATCTAAATGTACTTCCCCAGCACTGAGTTGGGTGACTGAGTGTTTACAGTAAAAATTGTCAGTTTTTAAATCTTTACAAGTGAGACGCCCACTATCTGGACATTCTCAGAAAACTCTACAATTCTTGCTGCCCCTCTTAGAGAAGCTACTGTCTGCAAGGCAGGAGGCAGGCACACAACGATCTGGAGACCCGTGTACTTTCAGCATAGCTTTAATTTAATGATCAAAAAAGTGGAGATCTTGCTGCTATTTCATTCTTTAATAGGGAGCATTGGCACAAACTACAAATATGTAATTTTGACATCTTACCTAAGAGCAGCAGAGGACAGGTAACTTGCTGGTCCATTCACACAGTTCCTGCTGGCTTCAGTGCAAGTTTTTCCATATTTAATGAAGTGCAACTTGCAAGCTTTGGAACTGAAAGGCTCCTAGGGATGCGGTTAAGTGAAGTCCTAGCTCATCATTAAGCACCAGGAAAAGCAGATTTTGTGCAGCAACCTGAAAAGGGAACCAGGGAAACAAGAACCACTGCCTCCCTACCCTCAGAGCAACATAACCACAAACCCTACGTGGTCCATGTCAGAGCTCCACACCACCACTGTCCGTGCCAGCCACACTCAGCACTCCTGGCTCTCTCCCCGTATCTCTGCACACTCCAAGGCGTGGATTTCCTGGTTCAACACAGCTTTGCTGCTGCAGTAGTCTCCTCCTAAAGAGCACATAAACCTTCACAGAAACCTTTATGGTTGCAGGCTGCTTTTACTAAACAACAAAAGAACAACCACAAGAAGGGATTTAAATCTCGAGGCACAGATGCATTACAACAGCTGTTTATTACTACAGTGAAATATTAAAATAAGAACACCAACTTCATGGAAACAACAAAAGTGCAATTGTAATTTGGTATTAAATAGGAAAAGAATGCCTTAAAATGGACATTTTGAGCCTATTAACACTTTTTGGAAAAAAAAAATAGCAGCTGAACACTTTAATCTTTGGTCTAATTATTAACCAGCAAAAAATAGTTGTACCAAAAACATCCATTGCAGACAGACATGTAAAATTTACATTACTCTGTAGATTCAAATTAAAAGAGGAGGAATGTTTCTGAAACATTTAGTCAGATAAGAAATGATGCCCTTGCAAAATACATAGGATTTGTCAATACAAAAAGAAGTCACACATATGCATTCTGGTAAATAAACTTATTCTTTTACAAATGCAACTTTTCAGTGTTCAATAAAAATGATTTCGTTTGCACAAAACCTCTGTAAAATTAGCTTGCAGATAAAGAGAACCAAGAGCCCACATCAGTGCTAGGTCACATGCTCTTTCTTCTGCATTTTCATTTCAGCTTACACACACACACAGAGGATGCCGCGCTGAACTTACAGCACAGTCCTGACCTTCTTGCACAGCACATACATGCTGAGAACACTGCTGTGTGACTGCAGCACTGCTTGCTGGGAGGAGGGATTCCCGCAGCTCAGTTCCATGCACTCCTCCTTGCAGATGGGGCTCTGAGAGAGCACCAAGGCACTGCAGCCACTACTACTGCTGTCGTGGTTCTAACAGAACCCAACTGTCATCAGCTCCTTCTGCCAATCGTATTCATGAATGTCGGCCCTACATTAAATAAAGAAAATATACTTAATGTCTCAGGTGCATAACAGAGCTGCAAGTTGGTCCACCAGCATGCACGTGGTGCTTTGGGAAAGCTTGCCCAAACCAAGGCTAAAGCAAATATCTTCTGCCACCAGTCATCATAAACTCAAAATTCCTCGCTGAGCAAGAACTTACACTGAGTATCAGCCTATGTGGCTTATTAAAGTGAGTTTTTGCCTAACTATTCATCTGAGATGGATTCAACCTATTTGGAAATACAGCCAAAACAACACTCAGTTAAATTGCTTTTCCCTTGCTCCAGGTCTACCTCACTTTCAGATCTCCGCAAGCCTCATCCTCACATCCTTCAGCTCAGTGCATCTTCATTGACAGCTTGCCACCATTCTCACTCATCCCTCAGCCCAACTTCCATCACCTAAACCACTCCTACTCTCTACCATCTCCCCTTGTCAAGAATTGCCTGAACACAACCATCTTTTCCTTCACCTACACTTCCACAACAAAGTTCTCACCCTTACAGCCTTCCACCAGTACAGGACACACACCAAGCATGCATCCCGCTCACAGAAGGAATTACTTTTCTGAGAGAGGGATGCACAATGATGAGAACAAACCATCAGCCAGCTAGAGTGGCTGTGATGCCAGAATAAAGAGCTGGAGTGTTTCTGTTGGGTGTGCAGGCAGCCACAATGCCCTGGATTGCTCATCCAGTCCTTGAAGATCCAATGGTGTTGACCACAGCCCTGCAGTCATTTCAAACACCAAATAATATAAGTCTGCAAAAATATGGTCTGCTACAAAAAGACAACCAAGGTAGCTTACTTAGCCTTAAATACCATGTGCAAAGAACATTTGATCAATACTACCTTTAAATACACTGGTTTTATTTGTAGAAAGAAGCATGGTGCTTCAAATATAAAAAAACCCAACTTGCGGGTATGACCTTGTCTATAATTACCTGAAAATAAGACTGCAAGAGCAGTTAAAAAAATAGAGACAGAAGCAGGCAAACATCTGCCTGGGGAGTGTTTCCATTTAGAAAAATAGATTTGTATAAAGTTTTGTAGATCTTACAAATGTTTTGTGCTTTGTTGCATAGAGCTGTGAATAAGGCACACCAGTATGAACATCAGGGAGGAGTGTCTCAGTAATTTCAAGTCATCCTGAAGCATCCCAGGGGTTACCTTTCATAATTTATAATCCATTTCAGAGTGCTCACCTAGGATGCAGGGTGGTGGTAATGAAGCACACGTTCAACTTCCTGAGCATCAGTAATTCAGTAACTCGACATTTTAACTTAAAGGTTTGGAATTCTACATTTGCTGACACCCTGGGAGACATGAGGGTCCCATACCAGCTGCAGTACAGCTCTACACGCCATCCCAGAGACACAGACACCAGGCAGAGGCTGACAGCCCGAGCACTCCTTCAAGCTGAACCTCACAACCAAGACAAGGGAGAAGCACAACAAACAGCTCAGTGCTGCCTGTTCAGCCCTGTGAGAACTCTGGGAAGTATTCTCACGCACTCTTTCCATAAGGAGTGGAAATTACCTCGCTGATGCTTACATTTGCAATACATCAGAAGCCACAGCTGCTTCGCCGTACCATGAATAAGTGCTAAACCATTTTTGAGTACCCTGAAATATTTTACTTCCTCCTCCCCACGGTAAGATAACAATTTGCTCACACTAGAAAAATCCCATCAGGTCATTTGGTCAAAACAGTGCCACAAGCAGACAGATGGTGGCAGCCCCAAAAGCCACCAAACTGCTCCTGGAAAGCACAGGGGCGCAGCAGGCAGAACACATCAGTGAGATGCGGACTGGTTGAAGCCTGGTTCCAAACCTAACAGGAAGTTTGTGTTGTTGTTGTCCTTGTGTCAGAGCATGTTCTGAGAAAATCATATGCAACATATCTCAAAAACAAGAACCCAGAGTATTTCTGTAAAAAGAAGGTTTTCCTGAGGATGACTCAAACATCATCCCTTTAATAAAATACTAATGCCTTCTCCACAGTGAGTATTTAGTGCGGCCAATTATCCTAAAATTAAGGCCTTTGTGAAAATAAAGTGCTATTTGTTTCTTTTTCTCAGTATTTCAATCCTTCAGCATAACCTTCATTTAAAACAGAAATGCACAAATAGATTCTTCATGCTATCATCAGAAGTTTCACTTCTCCCCCTAGTTCTGCTTTAAGATGCTTATTACATTTCCATTCAGCACGATGTTTTACATTACACAGGAAATTTAAAGCATGTCACTGAGCATTTCAGACTGCAACCAATACCTATGCTCAAATGCTCATCTCATTTTAAGAGCACCTCGGCACAGTAAGAGGTTTTGTTTGTGCTCACGGGATTTTTAAATCCCAAATGGATTTTGTACCCTAAAAATCACATCTCAGAAAAGGTCAGTTTTGCCACTAGGGCAAGTTAAGATAGATTTCCAGAACTGTCAGTTTGAACCGACCAAAAGTAACGCTTTCCTACCAAGGCACTTCCCCAGAAATTCAGTAATCCTCCTACGAACAACCCACCACGACGACATTAAAAATAAAAGCTATCGCCATTTCCTTAAGTCTCAGCCTTCCGTTTCCCAGTTTTCTCAGGTTCGGGGATAAAACCACAGAACATCCCAGCGGGTCCCACCGCGGGCAGCCGGGCGCACGGCGATCCCTCACTCCGCGGGCAGCTCCTGCCGCGCCTCGGCGCCGTGCCGGCACGCAGCCGGCCGCAGGTACCGGGCTCCGCCGTACGTCCTGATGAGGTGCGGCGCCTGGCTCCAGGTGTACAGCAGCTGGAAGGCGGCCAGGTCCAGCGTGGGCCCATCGAAGGCGGCCAGCAAGTTCACCGGGGCGGCTTCCTTGAGGAACCTGGGCAGCGCCACGGCCTCGGGGAGGCTGGCGTTGCCCAGGAAGAAATGCATCAGCGTCTGCTTGCGGAGGCAGTCCCTGAGGTACATCACCAGGTCCTCCAGGCGCTCCACCAGGAACCGCTCGTCCCAGGCTTCCAGGGGCCCGTGCAGCATCAGGGAGAAGAGGGCCGTCTTCAGCACGTAGGAGGAGAGCACCCGGCCCCACTGCGAGCAGAAGGGCTCCTCCAGGCTCTGCCCGCGCAGGTCCCGCAGGCCCTTGAGGAGCTGCAGGCACTTCAGGTGGCAGGACGAGGCCGGGGCCTGCTCCTTCAGCCAGGCCAGCAGCCGCTGCTCGTGCCGCGAGGCGTTGAGGCCCCACAGCGCCTCGTGGGCCGGGCCGGCCGGCGGCACGTCGGGGGGCAGCGCCGTGAGGTAGAGCGCGTCGCCCAGCGGGATGGCGGGGATGAGGCGCACGGCCATGGAGATGTGGCAGCACACGTAGTCGGAGCAGGGCCGGATGTGCAGCGTGGGCGGCCGGCCGGGGCAGGCGGCCAGGCTGATGCGGCAGCGCTCCTGCAGCCGGTAGCGCACGGCGCCCAGGCAACGCTGCAGGTGGCCTTGGAACCAGCGCAGCACCAGCGCCGAGGAGAGCAGGCGGCGTCCTCGCGGATCCGCGCAGAAGCCCTCCACGAAGGGCCGGTAGCGGCGCGGCCAGCCGGCCCCCGCGGGCGCCCGCAGACCGCAGACGAAGGCTCCGCTCGGCGCGGCACGGCACGGCTCGGGCTGCAGGCGCGGCGGCAGGCGCAGCGGCACCAGGACGTCGAAGCAGTCGGGACTGCACACCTTGTGCTGCTCGTAGGCGCTGCCGACGCGCACGAAGTCCCCGCGCAGGCTGAGGGCCGTCGGGCCGGGCTGCAGCCCCTGCGCCTTGGCGGCGCGGACCAGCTCGGCCACCACGCGCCCGACGTGCGCCTTGCTGTGCCCCAGCACGTGGGGCGAGAGCCGCAGCCGCCGCTGGTGGAAGCCCTCCAGGGCGCCGCGCCGCGCCGCCGAGGGGCCCCAGCCCCCGCCGGGCCTCGAGCCGCCTCCCGCCGCGCCGCAGCAGCGGGCCAGCAGGCAGCCCAGCAGCAGCAGCGCCGAGCCCTTCAGCAGCGGCACCGAGCCCGCCTCCGCCGCGCCCTCCTCTTCCTCGCCCTCCGCCGCTGCTGCCGCGCGGCCCCCCAGGGCCTGGCAGAGGCAGAGCAGCGCGGTGC